ATAAGATATTGGTTTAGTCGTAGTGAGTGTATGCTGGACTACAGTACAACGAGACCTTTATCCAGGATTTTCGGGACGCAACCCGTTGAAGTCCCGTTTCTGGGGACGCAGACGCTCTTTTTTACGTTCAGCCTAAACTGGGCAAGAATACGAATCGCACGAAAACCTCTAAACCGGCATTCAGTGGATTTTACAATGTACCTACCAAGACTGAATCTCAATGTAATCTTGAGTCAAGTAACCTCTGTTTTAGGACGAGGCAAACGCTTCTCCCCTCACTATCTCTCACTACCCGTGTGATTTAAACTGGCAGGCTTCTCAAAATGGCGGCAGTGAGGCCGTGGGTGTTGCCGTCTCTGCACAAACCTCCCAATTTGTCATGACTTGAGACCTTGGTTCGGCCTCCTATGGCAGTTTTGTTCGAGGAAACGAAATACGGTTTCCGTGACACCAACTAGCGAATGACAGCGGGATCCAAGATTCTAAGAAATTAACCTTTGGCTTTACAAATATTCTAGGAAAGATGACCTCAAAAAGACGAAAAGTTTTGCCTGCGGGAGGAGAGGCCGCCGTTGTTTACATGAATCTTTTTTATCTCTCTGTTAACGACAATCGTTTCGTTGTTGGTAAGAGGACAAAGCTTTGGTATATATTTAGTGGAACAGAACCATACCATAACATTACTCTTGCAGTTCAAGACAACCGGAGATTACAAATAGTGGAAACCACCGACCCCTCCCTTTGAATTCTATGGGGCCTTATTCATTATTGATATGCACAGGCCAACGAGAAGGCTAGACACGTCTTTAGGGAGTGATGGCGGCTACTCTGGAAGATTTTGCCTCAAGAATTTGTAAGGATTATATCGATAGGGGAAAATTTGCGAAACGTTTCCAAAGATTCCTAACCAAAGTGGATCTTCCAGATGATTGGGAAGAGAGCAGTGGCTATGAATTGCAAGAAGCTCTTCCAACTTACAAACATCGTTATAACTGTTTGAGGAAATTTGTTGAACAAACAAAAGACGAGAGCATAACAGATGACCAGTTGGAAGATTTTGTCAAAAAAATTGAAAATGCTGCATATTCGCCCTCAGAAATTGAAAAGAGCTTTTCCTCAATTCAGGAACATGAAAACCAATCTTTTGATTTGTTTGAACAGAATTTTAAGGTTAAAGGTGTTGTTGTGCGGAAATGTGAAAAGAGGCTCAACGCATCAATTTTGACGAAGAAGAAAGACCATGGCAAACAAAAGTTCTTGCTGAATGAATTAGCCATAAACATTAAAGATGCTAGCAAATCAGGAGGAGGATTTCAGCTCAAAGTAGGAGATGTTGTCGAGGTGACGAAATGCACAAGAAAGGAACAGACAGCATTAGATGCAGAACTAATTAAGTATGCAAGATCTGTGTTTTCTATGTTTTGCTGCAAAATGGGCAGTATACTCTGTAAGAGTGTCAGGTTGCAAGTTAAATTTGTGTCTATGTAGAATTACTGTTCAAGCCAGTTGACTCTATTTTCCAATGCAAGGAAATTAAAAGTTACCTTTCATTAGAAAAAAAGTAAACTGGCTTGAAGCATAACCATTACAGAACTTTATAAATCTTATTCATCATTAATAATATCTGTCTGTTTTGCACTACATTTATGTGACATATTAGGCGTTCAAATCATTTAAGCTGAAATCAAAGTTCTACAGAATTAGAAAATTTCAAACTAAAAAAATTACATGTAAACCAGAGCATATGGATGCTAAAGATTCTTAAAATTTCATTTTTGGGATTTAAGAACAGAAACCCAGATGTCTGCTGGAATGCAAACTAGAGAAAATTGGAGAAACATGAAAAGCATTCTCTCTTATCACCCAAAGAGTTAATATGGAAGTCGAGACTGGCCTGAGTACTGACATGTTTCTAACAAGGTTAATAATACATGTAGATCCGGATGAAAATTTAACGTCAGTTGATTCCAGTGAGTGAAGAGAAAATTCACCTGTGAGTTTGATTTTGTTGGTTTCAGCTGTATATGTAGCTAGGAAATTTATTGTCAGTTTTGGTTTCATGTTTATTGTTAGGTGTTTCTCTCATACTGAAAGTGAGATGAAAGCATTTCTGGATCATCTGGTGAACTGCTTACAACATGAAGGTACAACAGCAGTCGTAAATGAACTCACAAGGTATTAAAAGAACGCATTAATCTAATATTAGTATAACATTATTATACATGCATGTCGTAATGATTTTAGTTATGTATTTCAGCAGAACCCATAGGAGTGATACTTTGAGGATGAAAAATTAGTATCTTGAATTCAGAAATGGCTTTTCCAGAAATGAAAAGAAAAAAAGAAATATATGTACTAATATTAAAGTTTAATCTATATATGACATTTTTAACAACCATGTAAAATAGTTCTAAACTTAGTGAGTGTATCTGAGATCTCTTCACATGGAAGGACTAGATATTTTCCAATTTGCTGATTGTTTTAGTCTAGAAAATATCAAATATCCATACCCCCCTCATGGGAGGCTTTTTTGTTTGAACCCCCCTCCCCCTTGAATATTCCAGTTGCAGATTCATACTATCTTTTCCTGAACTTTTTTTGGTGTTTGAGACCTCTACCTCCAGAGTTTATACGGGTCATGGAAAACCTGGAAAGTCATGGAATTTATTATTTCAATTTCCAGGCCTGGAAAGTCATGGAATTTAAGTAAGGATCATGGAATGTCATGGAAAAGCGCTATTCTTTCTGAGAATAAAAAGGCAAAGAGACAAAAAAATGAAAAAAAAAAAGCAGACAATTCAGAAACAGGCTTTAATTTCAGTACAAATAGACACAAGCATGCATTTTATCCATTATAAT